CACACATTTGTTATCAGTCTAGCGGCATTGTCTTGAATGGCTTGTAAACGATTCAAATATTTGTTGTTCAGACCTGCTAGGAGTGAGTTACAATAGTCTAATCTAGATAAGATAAGAGATGTTACCAATGTTTCTGTGGTCTCTTCGTTTAAGTACTTTCGAACTAGGCCTATCCTTCTCAGCTGAAAATAAGGGGGATTTGGACAGAGATCTACAAACGAACCCATTGATAAGTGGTGGTCAATATATACACCGAGATTCTTGACTTCCTTACTAGATGTCATATGCCCATATAAAACAATGTTGACACTTTCCAGATCTTTATTTTATTATTATTATTTATAAGAATTACATCTGTCTTTTCTTTCGTTTAGTTTCAATTTGTTTACTGTCATCCACTTTTTAAATCCATAAAAACATTGTTTAGTGATAGAAATCATGTTTGGAAGATCTTGCATGGTGCTATTAACATACATTTGGGAATCATCGGCATAAAAATGATAATTCAATCCATGATTTTGTAAAATTCTTTCTAAAGGCTGTGATATAGCGTAAAGAGCGCTGGTCCGAGAACGTGCTACATTGTGTTGCTATTAAATTTAGCCAAAGAAGTTCTTGATCTTTGCATTGCCATACTCTTTAGCTCAATGCCATGGTTAGCTTCCTTGTTTTTACGAGACAAAAAGCAAATTTGCTTCCAACTTTACTTTTCAATTAGCCACTCACAGGGCCTCATTTCATTGTGTTCATCTAACCTGATCCCACCAGCTCATCACCCTCTGCACCAGAATCTCTCTGTTCTGATGAGGGTCTAACTAGGTAACCCTAATAAAAGTTTCAGCAGATCTAGTTAATTTGCTTTGTTTAAAATGTTACATTTGTGAGGCAGCATGGTGGAATCAGGCTCTCGTCAAAATAATTAAAGAGAAGAAACTTGCATTTTTCCACAGGTTTGTGAACTTTAACAAACTTTAAACAACTCATTTCTGTGGGGATTTTTTCTTAAAAACGTTGATTAAAGGCACAAAAAATGTAAATTTTCAGTTACCGCTGACTCTTGAGATAAGGAAATAACTAATCTTTGGTGGCCATTTTCTCACTAATTTTACTTTTGAAAATAGGTGACCCCCATCTCCTTCATTTGCAAATATCTCGACTTATATTGATGATAAATGGATATTTTTTTCATCCCCATAAAGACAAGTGAACAAGCCCTAAGATGATAATGATACCAATAACTCTACATGCCCAAAAATTGACGAGAGCCTGATTCCACCACGCTGCCTCACATTTTCCTCTTGTAAGGTGTGAATGAGTATGTCCAACTGTTAATGTTTAACTTATACTACGCAAGTCTAGTCCTAAGTAGCTTGATGTACTTTTTACTCGTCAAATTGGTAATGTTCTAACTTCACCCAGCAGTCTTTTTCCGACACAAAGAATGACTTTGAGGGTTAGACAATCAGACATACTCTCTGGGGTT